CCAATGGACACAGTCATTAGGGGGGTGAGGGCATGTGCCGGGGGGTGGGAGAGAGAGGTCAATGGGGGGAAAAGGAGACATATGTAATACTTTCAACAGTAAAGAATTTAAATTTAAAAAAAGAAAAAATAGGATATATATCTATATCTATAGATATATATATATATATATATGCTTGTATGTCCATCCAATCACAACTGAGACCCAAGTCAGAATCAATGATTTAAAGTACTTTCTTACCCTTAAAATAAAAAAATCTACCATATTTTTATTTTATTTTTAAAAAAAAATATATATATATATATATATTTTATTTCAGAGAGGAAGGTAGGAGAGAGAGAAACATCTATGATTTGATTGGCTGCCTCCTGCGTGCCCCACACTGGGGATTGAGCCCACAACCCGGGCATGTGCCCTGACCAGGAATCAAACCGTGACCTTCTGGTTCACAGGTCAACGCTCAAGGACTGAGCCATGCTGGCCGGGCTCTACCATGTTTTTAACCAAGAATCTCAATAACAGCATGTGAATTCATTGTATATAAAAGAAGGAAGGGGCATCTTTAAAATTTGATTCAGATTTGGTGTCTCAAAAGAATAAAGAAATTGTTCCATCTGAGGGAAACATATGGATCTGCAAGAGATATTAAAATGTAGTTAATATTAAATTTCAGTTGCACTTCCTAAGGGCTGCTTATCACCAAATAAAGAAATATTTAATTTTTTATCATAAGAGTTGCAACTAAGATAACAAATCATTAACTACCAGGGTTTTTAGCTGATGTTTAGTCTTTCCCCATACTGGGTTATATTATGGCTATATTAACAGTAGCTAATGGTACCCTATGTTGTATACTAGTATGCCAGGCAAAAGAGATTCAATCTTGGTGTGCGTATTTTCCTTTTGATTTCTAAGTGCTTTTGGTCATTCGAAATACTTGTAAAATGTGGGAGGGAGAATAATGCAAGGTAACTATTGTATATGTAAAGGCTCCAAATTGTACATTCTTCATGGTTTATCAATGATACAGCTAAAATGTGCAAGAAAATATTGGGACTGGCAGATCTTAGCTTCTCCCTTCAATTGTCTGTGCTTGAACTGGAAAATTAGAAAAGCAAAAGGAAAGATACTGTGTTTTACACTTTATACAAAACAAGTTTTAGAATAAGAATAAATACTAATTACTTAATAAATACTAATTAAGTTTCAGAGTAAAATGAGGCATTTAATTAACCTCAGTGAAAAGGAGGGGCAGGTTCATAAGAGATACTAGATGATAGATGTTAAATAGAATAAATGCCTTTTACACTTTATAAATAAATGTTCTTAATAAATCTAAGAATTTAAACAGAGAATTTATTTAGGGAGATAAAGGCTCCTGTTGTTCCCAATTTACTTGGTTACTTAAAAAATAAACTCTAAATTCTGCCTAGGAGTTAGTAACTTTAAGTGATAGAGTTTTATTAAGTAAGAACTTTGGTATAAGTGTTATACACTCCTAAGTTTTTCATGAACCTTTTTTTTTTTAAGAATTAGAGTTGCCAACTATGGGTAAGAGCCATCTGGTGCTTACATAAGCCAATGGAAAGAACATATGCCAAGAGCAGACCATCACCATTACTGTGGCCTGTTAGGAGATGTACCTGCACTAGCAAGGCCCTGTGGTAATATCAGGAGTCAGGTAGCAGATGTATGTGCATTGTGTATTGTTTCAAAAGAAATCTTTCCCTATGAAAAACCTCAAAGTTTCTCCAGCAGGCACAATGCATATGTGCCACAGTGAGACTAAACACTTGCTAAAACACATGGCAGGAAACAAATGTAGCCAGTCATTTAGCTAATGGAGCAGATTAATGAACCTAAAGAAATAGTCCTTTTAAGCCACTAGATTTTGGAGTGATTGGCTGCAAAGCAATAGATAATCAGAACAGCTATTAATTATCTATCCAAGACAATTAGTTTAACATGCTATGGTATGAAATAAAAGCTTGGGATCACAATTATTGGCAATATGTTAAAAGAATGGGAGACAGGTGGAATCCCTTATCCATTCTGGAATTAAGGAATTTTTTTAAAAATCTTATGACATAAACCTAAAGCAAAGTTCAGAGATCTCAGCAATAGTTTATCTGTCCATGAGATTCAACCTCATGTAAAATTTTATAATATTTACTATATCAGACTACCCAGATCTAATATTTCCAACGACAATGATAAAATATTAGAAATAGAAGACATCTCAGAAATCTTCTAGTTCCACATTGACACATGAAGAAACAGAAACATAGAGAGGTGAAGTGACTTGCCTAAGTGTCTCAAATAATTCATACAAGATCATTGGCTAGAATTCAGATCCTCTGATATCACTCCAAAGCCCTTTTACTATTATGGGGGGTGGGGGAGGACAAGTTTGGGGTAGCTATTCAGTTTTTTGTTCTTTCACTAGACTATTTTTGATTTAGGTGTCTATGAATCAGCCCTTCTGAAGACAAAAACTCTAGCAAGAATGCTTACAAAAGTCCTTCTGAGACATAAACTCTTACCCTAGAAGTTGAATGACTACAAGGACCCAGCCACGCGAGGCTCTAAGGAAGCCCACTCTAGTGAGCATGGAGGCAAAGGGCCTGAATCCAGAATGAGTATGGCCAAGTGATCCTTCCTGGGAGAAAGGCCAATGTGGCTAGAGTATGGTGCCTGAAGGAGAGTGGAAGGTGATGAGGTCAGAGAGAGAGAGAAGCTCTATCATGTTCATGATAAGGAGTTTGAATTTTATTTTTATTATGGTGTTTGTTTTGTGGGTTTTGTGTTGTGTGTGTTTTTTTACAGATTTTAAAGAGAGAACAGGAGAAGGGGTGAGAGATAGAAACATCAATGATGAGGAAGAATCATTGATCAGCTGCCTCTTTCATGCCCCACACCGGAGATCGAGCCCACAATCAGGCATGTGTCCTGACCAGGAGTTGAACCATGACCTCCTGGTTCATGGGTTTATGGTCAATCACTGAGCCACATCAGCTGGGATGAATTTTATTTTTCATGCTAGTGGATCAATTTGAAGGTTTTACACAGGGAAACATGATTCCTCTATTGATTTTTTCTTTTTAAATCACCGTGACTGCCTATGTGGAGAACAGATTACAGTGATGCCACTATAATTTGGTCTTTTTTTTTTGTGACATGCAGCAGAAAATAAAACAATCTAATGAGAAAAGACAATGCAAAAAGAACTGAAATTATTTGAATATTATTTTGTCAAGCCAATTGGGAAAAGAAAGTTACAGAAAAGGATAGCTGAAATCTGGAACCCTATACATCTGGCTGTTGACAAAGGAAGGACTTTGCCATCCAGTGATACTCAATACAGTTTAAGAATCCAGAAACTTTGAAGAGAGTCATTACAACTCATGGTACAAATTATGTGGTCAATGTCATTCTATTTTGCAAAGGTCAAAGTAATGAATCTTAGGGAGAACATTAATATATTATACTCGAGGCCTGATGTACAAAATTTGTGCAAGAGTAGGCTTTCCTTCCCCCAGCTGCTGGCACCAGCTTCCCTCTGGCACCTGAGACCTGGACTTCCCTCTTCGCAGCCCTGGCTTCATCCAGAAGGCCGTCTGAAGGACATCTGGTCTAATTAGCATATTATGCCTTTAATTATTATAGATTCTCAATCTATCTTATTTTCCGCATTCTTTTCTCTTGACTTTGATCACTTATTCCACTTTTTTATGACCTGTCCTCGAGGGAATGGAGATTGCATCTGCCTTTTTTTCCTGGGGACCAAAGCATTCACCTGTTGAAGCAACCTGATAAGCGGCAGGTCTAACCCCTATGATATAAGTGAAAAGACTCCTCAAGAGGTAAATAGGCATCAGTAAGGTACTATGTTAGTATTTTATGTATGCCAGCTCATGAATCTTAACAAAAACATCATCAGTTTTGTTTTTTCCATTTTCCAGATAAGAATGTTGAGACTCAGGTGTTTGCCAAACTCTCTTGGGTCACACAGCCAATATACGGCAGAATTGAGGTTTTAATTCAGGAGATTATGGAACTCAAAGACCAAGACCTTCTCCTTGGAATTGTCCAGAAAGGATTCATTGTGCTGTAAGAGAACCTTAGGGAGAGTTCTGCCAGGCCTCCTAGTAGACCTTGCGGGACCTGGAGTGTGTACCAATTTTCAGTCATTATTTACCACCCACTCATCAATAATGGGAATATCCCTACACATTTTTAAACAACTTAGTGGTAACTGATAGGATATTAGTGGTGATTCAGAACATTAGGATTAGTGTATCATTATAATAGCTTTAAAGTTGTCTTTTATAAAACAACTTCTTAAAAGGTTGGATGGCATGTAAAATCCACTCCCATTCCTACTGCAGTTTAGTGATGCAAATTGTTTTCCTTTCTGTGGTAATTTAAAGCTCCTCTGAACTGGCTCCAGTGATTCGGAATCTGGCCTCCAAACAGTCATGCTCCGATACAGAACCCTACAGTGGGAAATTCATTTTCTGCTTGACTTTGTAAGTGAAATTACACTCTGACACTGCTCCTTGCTGCTGTCGCTGAACGGTATTAATGAAACATGGCACCAGAAATTTATTTGCAAGGTTGTCTGCTATTAGTTCCTTTGGTTTGAAGTGCCTTTTCAGATCCCTGTGACAAGAGGGGTGGGGGAAGAAAACTCTCAGTGTGGCCAGAAAATCAAAAAATTGTTGGATTTCCAGATTGAGAAGAAGGTAACATTTTCAGAGGTATCTTAAATGAGAACTTTTATCTTATAAAAGAGAACTGTTCTCAGAAAAGAAAACTATATAGATGATTATATTCTGCTGTGAAATCTCAAACTTAAGGTTGTCTCTAAATAGGGTGTTCCTGTTTATCATAAATTAGAAGTTGTTATAGGTTGTACCATCCTTCAGAAAGGGAAGTTATCTCCATATCTCTCTCTCTCTCTCTCTCTCTCTCTCTCTCTCTCTCTCTCTCTCTCTTCACATCAGATGGATAATGTGCCAATGTCCTAATAAGGTTTGAAGGAGGCACATTTCATACATGAGTGCAAACACCCAATCATCACACTTATGAACTTCAAAAGGATCTGGAAGTTATCTTGATAATGAAACTCATTGTTCAGGCTATGGTTACAGAAGCAAGGTGTTTAACATCAGGATGAAGTTTCTTGGAGTATTTCCCTGTTGACTGACTTTGTGCTTTCCTCATTCTGAGAGAACAAAACCAACCATATTTAAGCAGCAGCCTGTTTAGATTCTCTGATTAGAAGACAACTCACTCAAGACTTTTCCAACTTCCTGTCCGTATTCTTGCCAATTCAACATGTTTTATTAATTACACTTAGTCAGTCAGATTTCTATCCAATTTGCACTCAAGGGTCATCTACACATGCCCTTGAGTTATCTCCCTGTGCTTTACTTTCACACCAAAGTAAGCAAAGTACACCCACCTTCTTGTATTTCTATGTTAATACAATATGGTGAATGGTTTATGTCATGGGTAATCTGGTTAATAGTTGAGCATACTTTTCATGATGATTGCTATCTTCCTAGAAAAGGCACATAATAGAGAAACAAAAGATAAATAAATGAACAAATCATTCTAGGGTAGTTGTTTTGTTTCCAAAGTTGTACAAACTATGTTAATCAAAATTACAGAAAGAAACAGATCTTAATTTAGGTGACATTTTCTAGGTACTCTTGGGCTCTCAATTAATCTGTTTTTTCACTGTCCTTGTACTTTGGGTTTGTTATTCCATTTAAGTTTTTCCACAAAGTGTTGACTAGTTATTTTTAAAATGCTATTTGAACTTGAATGTGGGCTATTGCTTGGTTCTATGAAGATAGGGTACATTTTTAGCTTTAATTTTTACCAATAGTAAGTTTTATAGATTCACTTGATTGTGATAGTTCATGAAAAACAATCTGTTTTTGCCCTGGTCAGTGTTGTTCAGTGGTAAGAATGTTGGGTTTTTCACCGAAATGTGTGTGGGAGGCTCTCTCTCTCTCTTTCTCTCTTCCCCTTCCTCCCTCTCTTCCACTCTAAAAAATCAATGGAAAAATATCCTTGGATGAGGATAAATAAATAAATAAATAATCCGTTTTTCTGGAATCTTTAAGAGGTTATTGTTTTCCCAGTAGCTCTAATATAACTTCTTCTAATTAACTTGCCTTCATTCCCAAGACCAAGTTAAATGGTCATCCCCTGGCTTTCATATTATTCCTTATCACTGCACTTACTATTCCTTCCTATGATAATTGACCATCAGTCCCTTCCAATTTGGACTCTGTGTACGCTAAAAGCCTGTGACTCATTCACTATTTTTATCCAGAAACTAGCAGCATGTAAGCATTTAATATATAGTAGAGTCTTAACATAAATTTGGTAAATGAATAGATGAAAAAAATACATGATAAATTGGTAGAAGATAGTTGGATAGATAGATAGATAGATAGATAGATAGATAGATAGATAAAATTTCATTTGGGGGAGGTGGAGACAGTCAGGATTCCCTTTGGGCTCTAGCATAAACCTCAACAGACTTTTGTCCACAGTGAATAAGTTGATTTTAGAGTACATACTACAAACTGATATCCGTTGGTCAGGGCAGTATGAGATAGAAAGCAGGAGTCCTGAGGACTTCTTTTTTTTTTATCAACTTCTCAGATACAAAGACATTTATGTCTAAAACCTAAAATTTGCCATGCTTTTTGCCCAAGCTATAAAGATAAGGACAATATTCCAGGTATCAGCAACCCTCAGTGCAGTTTTTGAAGAGGGTCTCCTGGAGTTTGTGAGTTTGCTGTACTTCCCTGAAATACCTTCTGACAGGGATATGTAGACAATTATAAAGTTCCTCCCTCACACTCCTAAATCAGTTCTGAGATAGCATGGAAAAGAACAGACATTTATTGGGTGAATTACTGAAAGATATAACGGGGAAACAGTAATTATCCCAAGTGCCCAATCTCAGTTCTCACTGCCTGAAGATCATTATTATTAATAATTCCAGGCCCTGGGCTAAGTGAGACTGGTGTACATTAGCATACTTAATGCTCATGATAACTCAGTGACATCCAGGGCTATTTACATTTTATGGAAATTCAAATCATGCAAATTTTAATTATGCAAATTTGAAAGAATGTAATACAAAATGATCAACGTACTCCAACTTTATTTACAAAATTTCAAATATAGCAAATGTCTCCCGATTTTAAAGAGTATGAAGAATTGCCTAATTTAAATGACAAGCCTGGAGAATTTTAAATAGTATTTACTCTTTGGTAACATGCAGGTGTACCACTTTTGCTAGAAAATAATAATTGTTAGAGTGAAAGCTGGTACTTATTGAACACTAAGCATTTCATAGATAGCATCCCCTTTATTTTTCACAGAAAAATCCAATGTTGTAGGACTATGATTTTCCCCATTGTGCAGATGAGAACACGTTGAGTAGCAGAAGTAGAATTTAAACTCAGGCAGCCTGGCTCCAGTTTTAAACAAGGCCTTGCCCCACTTTTCAGGATCCATGAAATTAAAAGATCCTAACAATCCACAGCTCTGTGCCTTGACTATCCCTTGAGGAGGTGTGGGCACTGAACATTGATTAGAAAAGCATTTGCTTCCAGAACATCTAAATTATGTGCATTTTGAATGAATATAACTTTTAAAAACTCTTCTCTCACATAAAATATGCCTGCCATGTAGGTATTATATTCTCACTTTTAAAAATGAAACTTTATTTTTTATTATGTTTATATTGATTTCAGAGAGAGAGAGAGAGAGAGAGAGAGAGAGAGAGAGAGAGAGAGAGAGAAACATAGATGAGAAAGAAATATCAGTCAGCTGCCTCCTGCATGCCCCACACTGAGGACTGAGCCAATGATCCTGGCATGTGCCCTGACCAGGAATTGAACTAGCGATCTCCTGGACCTGGTGCATGGGTGGGACACTCAACCACTGAGCCACACCAGCCAGGCTGAAAATGAAGCTTTAAAGTGGTGAATAACTTGTCCAAGGCCTCAAAGCTAATGGAAGCCCAACTCATCCATCAGGAACACGAGCTGTTAGGTCCACGTAACACAACAGACACACCTGGAAAATCAACCTGAGACTCCACCTCCTCCTGTGTGTGCCTTTGTGGACTCTCAGCTGTTTGCTTCATATCGGGGAAGCTTAGCCCATGTAACCCCTCGTGTTCAATCCTAAGCCTCTTTTCTTTCCTCGGGTCCCTTCAAATTGTAACCTGGTCCTCAGAAAAATCCACATCTCCCAAATTCCTGACTATCCTACCTTATATTTCCATTCAAATTCAGACAAAAGAACCCTGTGAGCACTTTCCCTCAGTACCCACACTCCTCACAGTGTCTGTTCTGTAATTATAGCACCATCTTATCAAACAGCAGCCAGAATCAATAGGAGTTTGACCCAGGCAAATATCAGGGGAGGTGGGGAGAGTTAGTCACTAATCACCACACCACATTCTTGCCATCAGATTTAGATCGATCTTTGCAGAGCATGCCTTACTGAGTGGAAAATGTAAGATGTAGTCTCTCCAGGTTGGCATCAAAATTGACAAAACTGTACCTGTGGAAGCTGAAAAATGAGGACATGTTCTTTTTCTATCCTCCTAACAGAGCTCCGCAGCAAAGCTTTTGTAGGAGCACAAGTTTAGAAAGATGCCTTTTGATGGATAACAATGGGCCATTTTTGCATAGGTGGTGCTAAAGCTTTCTGCCTTTGTACTGGCAATAAAATTAACATTAGCCCAGATGTGTGTGTGTGTGTGTGTGTCTGGTACATGTGTGCACACATGTGCAAAGAATGATGAGAAAGAAAAACAGTTTTCTCCAGAAAGATGACCACAGCCTATTAATTGTAACCCCTCTTTGGCACAAAGTAAATTCCTTTTTTTAGAACAAAAGATCCATGAAATTGGAAGATCCTAACAATCCACAGCTCTGTGCCCTGACTATCCTCTGAGTAGGTGTGGGCACTGAACATTGGTTAGAAAAGCATTTGCTTCCAGAACATCTGAAACAGCTACTGGAATCAATTAAAACAAAACAAAACAAAAAATGATTGTTCAAACTAAGTGCACAGGCCAATTTTTTCTTTCTAGTCTTCAGCCTCATTATGCAACTTTAAAAAAATGCTGCTACCGATAAAGAACTTGACTTATACCACTCTTAGTTGTCTAAAACAATTCAGTATGAATTCCATTTACAGGTTTTGATGCCTGGACCCAGAGAGGTTAAACTACTTGCCCAAGGTCACACCTTGGATGGATCCAAGGCTGGAACCAGGAACAACGCCTCTATCACATCCACAGCCTTCCTTCCTGGACTGAATACTTAACATACCAATAAAGCTCCCGATTTATCCTGACCTTTGTTTCTAGGAGATCATTATCTCTCTTCTCTCTTCTTGACAAAAGCATGTACGCCATGAAAAGGAGCATAGGACCACTTGCTCAGAGAAGCCCATGAAGAATAAAGAAAGGAGCCCTGGCCAGGTGGCTCAGTTGGTTGGAGCATCCTCCCATACGCCAAAATAGATGGTGGGTTTGGTTCCAGGTCAGGGCACATACTTAGATTGCTGGTTCCATCTGCAGTCAGGGTGTATACGGGATGCAAATGATTCTTTCTCTCTCTCTCTCTCTCTCTCTCTCTCTCTCTCTCTCTCTCTCTCTCCTTTTCTCTCTCTAAAAATCAATGAAAACATATTCTTGGGTGAGGATTAAAAACAAACAAACAAATAAAAGAATAAAGGAGGACAAGACAGCCTGAAGGTGTGAGGTGGTGGTGTGGCTGCCCGAGTCTGCAGGGAACCTGGGTCTTTGAGGAAATATCAAGGAAATGAGCTATCTGCTAAAGGTCAAGGCTGAATGATTTCAGTTAGTGTAAAGAGAGTAGTTGAAACTGATAAAAAGAAGGTAGAGAATGACGCTCGGAAATCCAGAGGCACTGGGACATCTCTGCAGACTGGGCCACGGCATGAATCTCGGGGCAGGCAGATCTCTCGGGTCTGGGACTAGGACTGAATGAAAACAGACCACAGAAACTCTCCAGGCCTCTAGGGAAGGAC